TGTCTCCCAATACTGTACACACAACACACACACAATGCCTCCCAATACCATGCACACAGCACACACATTGCCACCCAATACCATACTCACAACACACACTGTGCCTCTAGATTTCACACACACAAAGGATCACAAACAAAGATCTTGTGAGGGTGTGTATCTTTGTGGGGATTCCTCTAACTCCCATTTAACTACAGTATACCATAGGGAAGTAGGAAAGCATTTGATATCACTTTCAAATTAGGCCTTTTTCAGGGGTTTAGACCTACTGCCTCTGTATTTTTCTAACATTTTGTCTTGATACTAACAACAGAAACTGATATACATGCACATACTGTACACTGGCGAACTGCTCCTAGCCCAGGTACACTCACACTCACCCATGCACAAGATTGCCCTGACACTTAAACCACACCCCAGCTGCATAAACCCTCTCTCTTCATGATGAGCAGGACCAGCAGCGAGGTCAAACGCAGCCCACACTCTCATTCCCAGACACGCCAACACAGAGAAGTGTCTCCCTCCCGCTCGAGAGCTCTTCAGCACAATCTCCCCACCACGCACAAGCACAGCACACTGGCTTTCTGGCACCAAACTCCCCCAAAACACACTCTCTCGGCAGCAGCAGCAGTGGCTTCTTGATCAAGAAAAATGCAGCAGTAACATCTGTTTGACTCTTGTTTGCAGCTTCATCAACGCTAAGTGGTCAATAAATCAGCCTGGTGCAGCTTGGCGCTGGCTCCTGGCTTGCACCATCAATCTCGCTGGGCGCGACCATAAAAAATGAATCGGGCCTCCGGGAGAAAGCACACAGGATCTCCGTGAAAGGTGAGGGGAGGGGGCCTTTCTTGGGCAGGTACACTGGTATCGTGAGCCCCTGCAAAGCTCTGAGTTCAGAGGTCGGCGGCCCTCGGCTCTTCCACTTCTTCCTGCAACAGGACGCCGATCCGACAGGTACTGTGCTACCTGACCTCCCTCCTGACTGCTCACTTCCCCCTTCGGCTTATTCCTTGTTCCTCATTCCATTCGATTAAAGTGCTTGGGAATTACAGCACCAGAACCAAACAAACCGTTTCTGTCATACTAGTCACTGTGTTGCTGCTTCACCCTGTTACAGAAGTAACGTCAACCCCCCTGGAACCAAGACATTGTAAGGGTCTACTGCAGCAGGACCCATGCCTTTGGTGGAGTTTGTGGCTGTATAGAGAGCCCAAGAGTGACCATGATCATCTTCCGACATGGGCAGAGCAGAGTTTTGGAGTTGCAGAGTCTGCCATCGTTTAGGGGGTGCTGCTGTGTCTGAGCCCACAGGTGTCCACGATTCAGTCGCATCAGGGACACAGTAGGGATACAGGACCCCCAAATACCATTCAGCCATGTCTGAGAGGATCACAGAGATCCAGTTTCACGGGAGTGTCTGGGCCACTTATTCCAGGCAGTTGTAGCTCCTACAGCTACATCGCGCCCACTCTCGAGATCACTCAGACCCAGACATGAATCAGGCCCACCTGCATGTGCAGAAAAAAATGCCTCATCAAGCTGGACAGCTGCTTCTGGGGAGCATTCAACAAAAGCATAGCTTGATGGCTTTGAATAAGAGCCATCAGCACAGTCCTGTCTGGCATTTCATTGTGACCTTACCCTCAACACTGTCCCAGATGTAGCTGCTGTCCCTCTCTGACTTTGTAGGAGTAAAAATGAAAGGAGCCAGATTCTGACAAGTTAAAACCAGGAGCAAAATCTGCCCCATTTTTCTTTTCCTAGAGGGAACTTAATCATTGTAATGTTGTTGCACTAAATCCAAACAACCCTGGTAGATGCAAGATCTCCGAAATGAATATTTTAAAGTGTTAGCATGGTACCTATTTTTGGAAATTCTGCAGGCTTTTATTTTACTTTGGAGAAAACTTTTTGGTTCATTGTTAAAATTAAATTCCATGATGTTAACTATAATTACAATACCACAATTGTGACTTGTCCCTGACAGCAGTGGCTCCCAAGAAAAAATAATAATGATGATGTTTATTTTGGGGACACTATAACTATCATCATCTTTGTCGTCATCAAATACAAACCTGTTCTGCAGTCATCCAATATTTCCAACTCAACACTAATACTAAAGGTGCAGTGCAGAGAAACATTTCTAAACCCCCAGTATAATTATGGGAATCCCAATTTCCTACTGTCATACCCTTGGTTAATCAAGACCAGTCTTTTGTCAAATCATCCAAAGGGTTTATAGCGACCACTTTTATGTTTTTTAAGACGCAACAGTGTATGAATTAGAAAAAAGGGAATATCTAAGAATCAGTGTTTCTGAAATAAGGTTATTTAAAGTTAAGAAGGTGAGTAGAATTAGACGGTTAAATAATTAGGTAACAAGTAAAGGAGGACATTCCTCTCCTAATAATGGGCAGAAACTTGGTCACCTTTGGCACATTTCCCTGTTACATGGTACAGAGTATCTATTAGAAAAAGGTAATTTATGTGTAAATCCGAAATCTACTTTAATTATATCCTCCTCCATCACTGTTCCAATGCCTGTCCTGTCCCTGAAACACACAATCTTGAAGGGGTGCTGGAAAGTACAGAAAGTACAGACACCTAAAATGACTGGGACTCTCCAGTCCCAGTCCCAGTCCCAGTCCCAGACATGCACTGACACTCTGCACTTCCAGTTCCCAGTAGCACCTAATCATCCGACACCCTAAACCCAGACCCCTCCTGGTTAATTCTCAAGCATGAACCTGTTATTGTGGCACATTTACTTTTGCAAATAAGCCCAACATCATTGTACAGTGCCTCTATAAGATCTTAAATGGCTCGTCTTAAACAGCTCAGGTGGGCAGCTGCGTCAGCATGCGTAGGCTGCAAAGGAACAAGTAATAGGTTTATTCCATGCTGTAAAGAGAAGAAAGAAAACACAACGTTTTTCTTCGCTCTGCACCCGAAGAATGCTCCACAGCCGAAACGTTGCGTTTTCTTTCTTCTCTTTTCAGCATGGAATAAACCTATTACTTGTTCCTTGGTGTGTCTTAAATAGTAACACTTCACGTGAATAAAAAAACTGCCATAACTCTTTCATAGACACTACTCAACACCATAAAAAACATGCGTAATCCTTTACAACCACTTGTGCAAATCACATTACGGGCACGCAATTATTCGGTTCATAACGAGATATAGTTTCAGCCTAAATCTAAGAGCGGACCTCCAGGTAGAGAGAAGTCATGTGTAAATGATGGAAGACGCCATTAAGGACTTGAGAGCTGACAAGGACTTTCTGCAGATGCAGCTCTGTAACAGTGGACCTGGTAATTTTATGTGAAATTTTATTTTGCTTTTTTGGTTTTTATGCATGTTGTTTTTATCAGGTCATGGGAGGTACTGGGAGGTAAGATGGTGTTTTTTAGCCTCGATCAAGTACTGTGTTACAGTAAAAAGTAACCTTGAAGATCTTGGCTTTCCTAGAGCTGGTCTAATTGCAAAATCTCCAGTATGTTCAAAACACATATGTTCTGGGACTACATCGGACTGCAGGAGTCACCTGTTGTTGCACACCACAGGGGACAAAAAAAGTCCCAGATCGTTTTCCAGCCCTTTTAAGGATCAAGAAAAGCAGCAGTGAGTGGCTCCTAGGACAGTATCC